ATCGGTTAATATGCTTGTTATTAATCCGGTTCTTTCAACGGTAGTAAACTTGGAATATTAATGCATGCATCTCATGGTTAATATGCCAAGGGGAATTAATTATATTTATTAAACCAATAAACCGCTTGTGTTGAGGTTATCAATCTCAATCGTTTTCATCTTAAGTTTATTGCTACTATCAAGTTAATATACGGCGCTTGTTCTATATTGACTCGTTAGTAAGTTTTATTAATGAACGCATCTCGTTATTAATAACTACCCTCGATGAACTGGATATACTCCTCGATTGAGTATTCGAGAGGAAGATAGTTAAAGATATAACCGGGATCGACAAACATTTCATTAAGTGGATAAAAGCAAAACCAAGCCTCCACATCTATTAATCAAACTCATATAGGTTGTTCATCTTAGTATATTTAAATCAAACAAATCTAAACCCCCATTGATACTACTTATATAAAAGAAAAGTATTCCTTTCCTTGTGGATACGAACCTTACTTCACTATACTACGTATTAGTGATGTATTGATAAATTATTTTGAGTGCACCTCACGACAAGTGCATGTCAGTAATCTCATGAAATTAACTCACTAATTATAAGCAATATAGTAAGTCATCATCACCTCATGATGTGCTACAATAGTTGCCTTTGTTAAGCTCCTCGATCAATCCCCGTTCTAGGCCGATTGAAAGTGCAAAATCTGGACAACAGACAAAAGTCGGACGGCTTTTGCAAAAGGTGGGAGGCTTTCGGGCCGGCAGCTCGAAAACAGTCCGCAACAATGGCTGTTTTCTGGCGGTTTCGATTCCTCTCTTCTAACCATTTTTCCCTTGAGTTTCCCTTTCTTCTTGACTCTTCCGACAATGGTTATTTTGGTGAGAGCTTTTCCTTGAGCTCCTTCTCCTTGTGGTTGGCCGAATGAGTGCAAAAGGATAGGGGAGGTATCGTATCTCAATCAACTCCCAAGTTAATGTGTAGCTAGGTCATAGGGAGTGATTTTGTCTTGTGGAAATCCCATCACTCAATAAGTCCGCCCCTCCCATGTTATGATGTCTCATTTACATTATTTGGAGTCCAATAGACTTGTAGAAAAGACCCCAAATGGGTGTAGAAAGCCTCTACCAATTATTCCTGCTATTTTTGGCAGGTTGGATCAAAATAGCACTTGGGTCGCCCAAACATTTTTACCAACTCGGTTGGCATTTTATTTGGGCTTCTATAATTTTTACTGTGGGGTAAATGGCCGAAATAGGAACGGCCCATTAACCCCTGAGGATCACCGGACGACCGTCCCCAAAAGCCCATCAGTCTGAGGACCAATACCCTCAGAGTGGTTCGAGGCAGTGACGACGTTCGGCTCCTGCACCAAAATGGCAGTAAGCGGTGATGACGTACGACCTCCTCTCATGGGGTAACTAAGCAGGCAAACAATGCACCAGGAGACGTACGTCAGGAGACACAGTGTGCCTCAGCAACTTGGAAGACACCACGGGACACCAGGCAGCCAATGCCTAGGGACGACCGTCGTCACCCATTGGCGGGAAACCATACCAAGGAAGCCACCGCCACGTCAGAAGCATCAGCTAAGGGCAACATGAACGTCTCCAAGGATTTGGGCAATTGGAGATGCTTTCCCCCTACTTCAGGGGACGTACGTCCCCAACAGGCCAGCAAGGCCCAATTGCAAGACGTACGTACGGAACCTTAACCTTGGGAGCAGGCAGGACACATGAGACAAGATTGTGAGGACGCTCGTCCCCACCACTTGGCGGAAAAATTTAAATACATACTGAATTTTAAATTCAAGTACACCGGGTGCGGTGTCACATAGATGACTTAAAATAAGTTAGCAGTGAAATCATTGAGCAAACAGAAAAGCAATTAAAAGGAGATAATTCTCCTGTGATTACGTATGTTTTCAACTTATAGTTACTGGACCATATAATATCACTAGAATTGTCAAAATATAAACAAGAGAGAGACAAACAGATTGTTAGAAACATACATACATCATTCAATTAAAGAACTAAGGAAGGATAAGTCTCAGTATTAAGAAAAAATTATGAAAACTATGAAAGCCACATTATTAAGAGATTAAAGGATCCATTCAGTAACCCATTGTCAATTCTATTTAATTATCATTTAAAACTTATAAAGAGAGAAGACGAAGTACAAAGATGGAGGTGGGAGATGGCCTTGCTATGTGAAGGAGCAATGCATGATTATATGAAAATGAAGTAGTGGGCAATCCGTGTGTTTCGAATGCGGTGTCATATATGGATTAAATAGTAGGAAATCTGGTGATCTTTTTCTGAAAGGGAAAGCATTTGCTAAATCACATACCTTTCTGATTAATGTCCTAATAAGCAAAATAAACCAGAACTGGCTACCAAAGGGGATATAAATATACTATGTCGTCATGAGAAACTTGCAGTAACAAAATGCCCTTACTTGAAGTTTTGTAGAGAAGGATCAATATCACTAAGTTTCTGATGATCTCTATACACACATTGTACTTCAACCATTGAGGTATAAGGTCCACCGAATTCTTTCATCCCTTCAACTTGGAAAGGATTATCCAATCTGACATCAAAAGACGAACCGTTGCTAAAGCCCGGAATCCATATTTCGCGTTGATCTTTGGGAGTAAATGCAGTTGGTGAGGAGAAAGGTGATGTTGGGGATGAAATGCCCTGATTGGTTGATGGTGGGTCAACAAGCTTGCAGTATATATAGTACACATGCACTTAATCATCTCCTCAGACAGCCTGTTTGGTGGCACTGGAATATGGTCAGAGATTCGGGTTCCAAGATGCTCTGCGAGGTTGACTATGTGTGAAGAAGCCTTCTGTGAGTATTGAATTTAGGAAAAAATATAGAAATAGTAAAAATATTGAATAAAACCAACAATAATCATTAGGGAAAAGGTGCAAATATCCAATTTATGTTTTTCAGGCGAAAAGTTTTGCAGATTGGCCATTAGCCACTGTTTGCAGCTGCAAATATGCACCTAAACTTTTCCTCCAATTGCAAATTGGCCATTAGCCACTGTTTGGAGCCGAAAAAGTAGGATAGAAAAGGAAAGAATCACAGAGAAAAGTACTTTGTTCTTCCACTTCTTTTGTTCAGTGAGTAAGAAATGACACAATTGTTTCGTGAAAACATTATGTAGCCCATTGCAACATTGCTAGGGGGACATGCTATGGTATTTCCACACAAGCATAAGAGCTTTAGATAAAGGAGCAGTAAAATAATTTATTTTCGTCTTTAGCCTTTCTGATTAAGAATGTAAGAATATGGTAAGGATAACTGTGCAGTTTCTAAATTCCATTGTTTTTCCTTTGCACACCAAACCTCCAAAAATCAAATATCTCCACTATTTTTCTTGTACAAAAAACAATTAAGAAACGTAGGATTCTTTTATCATATGCAGAAAAGAGAAACAATTACTCAGAAGCATATCATTCTTACCTCACCTGGATACGCCCCCTCAAACGGAACTACCATTTCAACTTTTTTGCCGCAAAACTCAGCATGCCTGGTGATTGCAGACTCACCATCAGTTGCCTAGAATATTGTCGAATCATGTGGGACATATCTCATCTGCTCCAATGGTCAATAAAAATCCCATTCAAAAATGTAATTTGGTCAATACCATGCACATGATCCATAAGAATATCCAAATGAAATTAGTGTACAAATTTATCCAAATGAACTTTTGTGTCAACCCAATCCAGCCTAGTGCCCTGACTAAGCCCATGCCCTAATTAACTAAGCCCATGTATATGCATTCACATTTTTCTAAAGTTATCCTTAATACTAAGTACGAGATACATAGAAATATAAATTGTAGTGTAATTGTATCATTTCTGAGTTCACATATTGCATTTCCCATATACTACCAAATCATTTTCAATACTTGAAAATAAAGAGCATTAATAGGTTCTATAGATCAATTACATTATCACTCCCATTTGGAAGTAATAGTAAAGTTGACTTGGGAATTTGTATAAACAGATTATAAACAAATGAAATTTCTGTTAACCTAGAGCAGCAGCAGTCACCGTCGAAGTCATCTGGAGCAGCAGCGGTCACCGTCGAAGTCAACGTGAGCAGCACCGGCATAGTCTTCGTCAAACTAGTCACGAGCATCTGCAGCGGCGTCTTCGTTGAAGTCGTCAGGAGCAGCGACGATGGTGTCTTCGTCGAAGTCGTCAGGAGCAGCAGCCGCGTCGTCTTCATCCTGTGACCGGTCTCTTCAATGATTGAGGAGCTAGGGCTAGTAGAAAGAAGCGGAATCGTGAGGTAAAGTAATCTGCATCTGAGCCTAAAATATGTGGTCTTGCATTATCCCGTTGGATTAGAATATCCTTGCTTAAGCATTCAGGCCACTTAGCTTTAATTGATGGTATGACAGTGTTGATTAACATGTCTTTGAACACTTCCTTTGTGATGCTAACTATAGGCTTTGTTTCCATCACCCCTGCAGTGTGTTTGTGTAGTGTATGTAATGGGAGATAGAATAGGGAAATGAGAGTATTTGTAGTAGTGAAAATTAGAAACTCCCTCCAAAAATAGGAAAGAATGTGTATTAGAATCAAATTTTGATGTTGTACTATTCACTTTTTGATCACATCTATCAAATCCAACTACCTTTCCTATTTATTTGAGTGGAGTAATTTTTCTTACCCCCTCTCTTATTCGGTCAAGCACAAGGGTCTTATTGGAAAGTCAAAGCATTTTATGCCTTGCATTAAAAAGCGGTACAGGTCAAATCGATCGGGAAGGATTTATTGGGATAGAGGGAGTACTATATGTAATTTTTATAATCACTATAATGTAAAATTTGAATACATTTATAATACTAAAAGTTACTATGTCACATTTTTGTTCATTGGTTTTGTATTTGAAATTATTTCTCTTACATTTCCCAAAAAATGAAAGTGTCCTTACCTAAAGAAATGAGCACATTCATAGTTTGAGAATTTCCATAATTCTAAGTCGCTCCTTGGAATCTCAATTACATTCATCATTTTCAGTTATTTTACAAATTTATACAGCTAAATATACGTATATGATATGACATGACACAACCCTGTATTCATATATAGCTTGTGTAACTGTACGAGAACTTGACCATGCATATAATGACACTATATTACGATGCACATCCCATATACAGTGTTCTAATTTTGGTAAAATGATTCGAATGGCGAAGTGGCGTAGATTTGCATTTGACTCAAGATGTTTTCAAAGTTATCAGTGGATTTCTCAATTGGGTGAGAATGGACGCCTTCGTAGGTTGTCACAACAATTCCTTCATCTTTAGACAATCTCTGAACTTGTTTCTTCACATTGCATCCTTGGTGTGTGCACTTATAGTAGCTCCTATAATAACAAAACATATATGCATTATGATTTGTATTATATAACATAATAATATGTTTCTATATAGAACATTTATGCCGCATTCTTCTCCCACTCTTTACTAATTGCAACACCTTGACTTTTGAACTATTCATACACATTATTTGACTAAGTTTTTTTACTACTATATATCAAAATCATCTTATATAAAATATTATAAAGTCTTCCTTCATTTAAATTTCCAAAATACTCTTTTTTTCTAATTTTTGCTTAAACACAATTAAATATATTAATGGCCACAGTTGGATATTGACAAATGTGAAATTTTAACTATTGCAACTAAAAAAGAAGAAAAATAGTATATGCATGTGTATGTGTTTATGCAACGGGTGATTCAACACAGAAAACATTAATTTGTTTTATATTATACAAAGAAACTAGTTTTCCTAAATTATTACGTAGTACTTAAATAATATTTGTGGAAAATGTGACAAAAGGTATTATAGAAATTGTTCAATATAGGACTAAAACATAAACGAAGTTCAAAAATAGGACTAAGTATGTTTATTGCTTAAATATGACTTATTTAGTCCTATAATTAAAAAAAATAAATTGATTAAAACTTTCCAAAATAGGAGTCCCATACTTTGAGAATAAAACAAGGATAGTCGTATTTATAAACGTTATCCTTGTTTTAGTCTTATTTAGAGAATTTTTGTAAAGTATTATGAGTATACCATATTAGTCATGTAAACCGATTAATGTATATTCAATTAAATCTAGATTTATAATTTACATTTTACACACAACGATACAAATACTCAAATAGATGTCATTCTATATTGCCCTAAATAGGAGTGAACATGTTTTGAAATTCTAAAATAAGAGTGCTACATTTTTCTTCTCGAAATAGGAGTTGTTATTGTCATTAATGACAATAAAAATTGTCATGTTAATGTCTAATATTGCACTTATTATGACAGTAATTACTCTAAGATGACAATAAATACTGACATGTTACTTGTATTTTAAGAAGAAAAACAGAGCATTCATACTTTGAAATTACAAATCTTTTTACTCCTATTTCGGAAACTTTCCCATTATTAAATTATTATATTGAGATTCCTTATTAATTATGAGAACAAGGTCTAAAGTGGATTTCTGAAGTGTTCACGTGTTTCACATGAGAAGTAACGAGTACTTCGTAGTCACCCGAAGGGGCGGAGGTAGGGGAGGGACAGCACTAGGCCCTAGCTGTCTCCAAATTTATTTTTTAAAATAAAATTAGTGTACAAATTTGTCCAAATGAACTTTTGTGTCAACCCAATCCAGCTTAGTGCCCTGACTAAGCCCATGCCCTAACTAAGCCCATGTATATGCATTCATATTTTTCTGAAGTTATCCTTAATACTAAAAACGAGATACATATATTATTAACGTATTTGTGTTCATTATTTGAACACAAGTGCATGAAAAACTGAAAAAATAGACAACCAAACTGATCATGAAACAACATCAACAATGATATTGTATATTATTACCACCTTACTAACAAGTTCACAACTCGATCTATCGTATGCGATTAAAATTAATTTAATTTAACAAATTCATAAAACATGACAACGTGAAGTAGATCACTTGAATCATTACGCATTTATGCATATACTATACATATATATAAGCATTCAAACTTCATACTATAAGAGATTGAACACCTAAATTTCGAAGAGTAATGCGAGCCAGAATATATATTGACCTTTTAGAGGTACATTTTAATATTTTATGTGCATTAAATGATGAAAAGTTATCATTAATCATCGCATGAAGTATGTTGTACGGAGTAACATTTATAGAAATATCCCTAGTGTTCACATTATGTCATTATTATTATTATGTACTCCATATATAACTTTATAATGGCTTCTAGAATTCGGGGAAATTATAAGGTACGACCCGCTGTACATGATCATGGTACAACCGGCATTTTTGTAAATAACTTCAAGTTAGAGGCTAATTGTTATGTTACTCTCCCTTCTCTTATTCCTTAATGCGGCGTCCCTCTCAGCTGTTCTTTGCTTTACTTTTTTTATTATTTTCTTTTTTCGTTTGTTTTTTCCTACGTATGGTAGGTCATACGTCTCTAGGTTGCTTAGTTTTTAGCCTTTTACTCGTTTTCTCTCTCTTTTTCCTTACTTATTTATTCAAGAGCCTTTTGCTTTTTTTATTCAATTATTATGAAAATGTATAAAATAAAAAAAGAAATATTGAAAATAATAATCCCAACTATTGCCAGTCTGCTAACAATAATCTCAACTATTGATTATTTTTGTATAATCCAAACTATATGTAACGTCCACCAATAATGATCCATGACCGCATATCACCTGCTCTAACAAGTGAATTTTTAATATAAATTAAGTGTAAAAAGTAAAATTTGGAATTATTTATAGGGATTACCTGCTATATCTCTTTAGAAACTATAGTAATTTATTTATAGTCGGTCACATCGGACCATTATTGGCGGAAGGTCCATAAAGTTGGAATTATTCTGAAATAATCGATAGTTGGTATTATTATGAGCAGACCGCAAATAGCAAGGATTATTACAATCAATTTTTCCAATAAAATATTAATAAAATGTCCTAGTTTGATGTTCAATGAAAATGCCTTGATGCTCAACTAACAAAGCTTATGATTTTTATATCATTGCTCATTTGGTATTGGTATTATGCTCAATTTAAAATGTTATATCAATGCATATTTCAAAAGAACCATATTACATTAGATTCACGTAAAAGTTGATTATAGATACGAAGGCACATACAATGATACTCAATTGCATGTTTCTAATATTCAATAGATGATGTTTGACGTTCAATGAAAATGTCTTGATACTCAACTAAAAATACCTATGACTTTCATATAAATGCTCATTTTGTAAATTATGTACGCTCAACTGTTACTCATGTAATGCTCATTTTTAAAATGTCATAACAATGCTTATTTCAAAAGTACCATATTACATTAGATTGAATATTGAAATTCATAGAAATTGATTATAGATATAATTTAATGAGTTCTTATAAAAGAAAAAATAAGAAAAAGAAAGTGAATTACAATATATGAAGTTGATATCACAATACTCATTATTCGACCCTTAATGCTCTGTAGCATACGTTTAATGCTCATTAAAAGTGTGTTAATGCTCATCTAAAGAAAACCATGATTTTCACTGCAATTACGAAAATGTCATCGTTTTTTAGTTGTGATATCAGCTTTCTTGTAATAACACGGTGCTCATTATTAGATTCTCAATACTCATTAAAATTGGACTATTGCTCATTAACATTACATTAATCTCATTTAGCAGAAACCGCGATTTCACATTAATTACAAAAATGTCACCGGCTGTATGGTGCTCACCGTAAAGCCGGTTGTACGGTGGACGGACTCCTAGAATTCGTGAACATTTGGCACCTTGCGTACTGAGAAAGAAAGAAATAAGAAGATTGGACTTCAAAACTAAGGTCCATACATATCTCTGCCTCTAGATTATTGCTATAAGATCGAATTAACCACATCAAAATTAACGTCCCCAAATGTAAAATACCGTTCAGTTTGACATGAGTTTGAGAACTGGGAATGGTATGCTTTCTCTTTAAAGTGATTCTTGTAACTTTCCAAAAGAAAAAGGCATATTTACAAAAAGAGGTCTTAACGTGCAAAGTGAAAAGTTTAAACTTTTTCATGTTTCGCTTGCACTTTTTCTTGCTTTTATTGCACTTTTTCGCGATAGCTCAAAAAAATTGGTTTATTTACAAAACTGCCACCGTCATTTTGGTCTAATTTGGCCAAAATCAAAATGGCCAAAAAGTGCAACGCAAACAACAAAAAGTGCAAGCGAAACATGAAAAAGTGAAAACTTTGCACTTTGCACGGGAAGACCACTTTTCATTTGAACTCTTCCCTATTCATATATATAGGGGTGAGATCACATACAAACCATGCTTAACTTACTAACCTACAAACTCAATAATATGCAACACTTTGAACTTTAATATGCAGTACAAATAATGTAAAGATGCACTCTTTGAATTTCAATATGCAATACAAATAATGTAAACATTAAATTGCTATTTTATGGCTTGAATAATATGAAACACTTTGAACTTCAATGTGCAATACAAATAATGCAAAGATGATTTCAATGAGATGACTAGTTTGTATGTGATCTTACCCCTGCATCTTTACATTATTTTTACTGCATATTGAAGTTCAAAGCGATGCATATTATGGAGTTTTGTAGGTTAGTATTTTAAGCATGGTTTGTATTTGATCTCTTATATATATATATATATATATATATATATATATATATATATATATATATATATATATATATATATATAGGGAGAGAAATTCTCACGTCCAGCACCTCCCGGTTCGAACGTGCCGAACACCGCCGTTTGGGGCGGTTCCCGGTGGAAGTTTTTGATGAAATTTTTTGAGCATGTTCCTCACCAAATTTCAGCTCAAAATTAGATCGGGAAGGCAGTAAAATAATTTGTTGAAGTTAACTGCGTTTTTCTATGTATAATTTGGCGCAGTTAACTTCAACGAATTATTTGACTGCCTTCCTGATCGAATTTTGAGATAAAATTTGGTATGGATAAACTAGACTTGATGGGGATCATGCTCAAAAAATTTCATCAAAAAATTCCGCCGGAAACCATCCCAAACGACGGTATTCGGACGGCATTCGGACAGAAAAGTGCTGGACAGGAGAATGACTCTCTCTCTATATATATTATAGTGCGTATATATACACACTATTTTTTATTACAACCTAATTAAAGAAGAAAACGTATTTGACAAAACGAGACATTTAAAGGAATAAATATTTTCATGTAATAAAATTGAATTGAACCGTGCAATTTTTGGTCATAAACAAGCATGGACTATGACAACATCCTGTTATTAAATAAAGAAATTCTATAAGAGTTCGTGAGGGTCGACTGACT